TAAATAATCTAAACCTAAAGAATGAATGGGACAAACAAGAAATCATAGAAACAATAACTTCATCCAAGAGAGTAACAATAATGAGACAACATACCAGAAATTATGGGATGCAGTGAAAGCAGTTCTTAGGAAAGTTTTATATCTTTTAATGCTTATATGAATAAAATAGAGAAAGAAGAGATCAATGAATTAGGCATGCAACTAAAAACCTAGGAAAAAAACAAATTAAAAATCCTGAATTAAATACCAAATTAGAAATCCTGACAACCAAAGGAAAGATTAATAAAATTGAAATTAAGAAAACTATTGAACTAATAAGTAAAACTAAGATCTGGTTTTATGAAACAAAAAAAAACCAATAAAATAGATAAACCTTTGGTTAATTTAATTTAAAAAAAGAAAGAAGAAAAACAAATTATAAGTATAAAAAATGAAAAGGGTGAATTCACCACTAAATGAAGAAGAAATTAAAACAATAATTAGGAACTATTTTACACAAATGTATTCCAATAGGTTTGACAATCTTAGTGAAATGGATGAATATTTACAAAAATATAAATTGCCCAGATATATTTCCCAGAAGAGGAAATAAAATACTTAAAGAACCCCTTTTCAGAAAAAGGAAATTGAACAAGCCATCAAGGAACTCCCTAGGAAAAAATCTCCAGGGCCAGATGGATAGAAGTGAATTCTATCAAACATTCAAAAAACAATTAATTACAATACAATATAGACTATTTGGGAAAACAGGCGAAGAAGGAGTCTTACTAAATTCTTTTTATGATACAAATATGGTGTTGATACCTAAACTGGGAAGAGTCAAAACAGAAACAGAAAATTACAGACCAACTTCCCTAATGAATATAGTTGCAAAAATTTTAAATAAAATATTAGCAAATAGATTACAGCAACTTATTATGAGAATAACACACTATGACTGGGTAGGATTTATACCAGCAATGCAGGGCTGGTTCAGTATTAGCAAAACTATCAGCATAATTGATCATATGACAACAAAACTGACAGAAAACACATGATTATCTCAATAGATGCAGAAAAAGTTTTTGACAAAATACAACACCCATTCCTATTAAAAACACTACAGAGCATAGAAATAAATGGAGTCTTCCTTAAAATAATAAGTAGCATCTACCTAAAACCTTCAGAAAGCATAGTATGTAATGGGGATAAGCCAAAAGCATTTCCAATAAGATTGGGGGTGAAACAAGGATGCCCATTATCACTACAGTTATTCAATATGGTACTAGAAATGTTAGTTTTAGCAATAAGAGAAGAAAAATAAATTGAAGGCAAAGACTAGGCAAAGAAGAAGACAATCCTAGAGAATCAAGGAAAACACTACTTGAAATAATAAACAACTTTAGCAAAGTTGAAAGATATAAAGTAAACTCACATAAATCATGGGCATTTTTATATATTACCAACAAAGCCCAACAACAAGAGACAGAAAGAAAAATTCCGTTTAAAGTTACTGTAGACATCATAAAATATTTAGGAGTCTACCTTGCCAAAACAAACCCAAGAATACAAGACACTTTCCACACAAATAAAGTCAGATCTAAAGAACTGGAAAAACATCAGTTGCTCCTGGGTAGGCCAAGCTAATATAATAAAAATGACAATTCTACCTAAGCTAATTTGCTTATTCAGTGCCATACCAATCAAACTACCAAAAATTATTTTACAGATCTAGAAAAAATAATAAGATTAATCAGGAAGAACAAAAGGTCCAGGATATCAAGGGAACTAATGAAAAGAAATACTAGGGAAGGTGGCCTAGCCATTCCAGATCTTAAGTTGTATTATAAAGCAGCAATCATCAAAACAACTTAGTCCTGGCTAAGAAACAGAGCGGTAGATCAGTGGAACAGGTTAGTTACACAAGACACAGTAATCATTGATTATAGTAATCCACTGTTTGATAAACCCAAAGACCCCAGCTTCTGAAATAAGAACTCACTATCTGACAAACACTGCTGGGAAAACAGTATGGCAGAAACTAGGCATAAACCAAAATCTTACACCATATACTAAAATAAAGTCAAAATGGGTGCACAATTTAGATATAAAAGCTGATACTATAAGCAAACTGAGAGAGCAATGAATAGTTTACCTGTCAGCTTTACAGAGAACAGAAGAATTTATGACCAAACAAGAGACTGGGAACATTATGAAATGCAAAACAGATCATTTTGATTACATTAAATTGAAAAGTTTTTACACAAACGAAGCCAATGCAACCAAGATTAGGAGGGAAGCAGAAAACTGGGAAAGGATTTTTACATCCTGATAAAGGCCTCATTTTTAAAACAGATAGAGAATTGAGTCAAATTCATAAGAATATAAGGCATTCCCCAATTGATAAACAGTCAAAGGATATGAACAGGCAATTTTCAGATGAAGAAATTAAAGCTATCTATAGTCATATGAAAAAATGCTCTAAATCACTATTGATTAGAGAAATGCAAATCAAAACAACTTTTAGGTACCACGTCACACCTATCAGGTTGGCTAACAAGACAAAACAGGAAAATGATAAATGTTGGAAGAAATGTGAGAAAAGTGGAATACTAATGCATTGCTGGTGGAGTTGTGAAATGATCCGACCATTTTGGAGAGCAATTTGGAACTATGCCCACAGGGCTATAAAAATGTGCATACCCTTTGTCCCAGCAATAGCCCTTCTAGGGCTGTATCCCAAAGAGATCATACAAATGAGAAAAGGACCCACATGTACAAAAATATTTATAGCAGCTCTTCCTGTGGTGGCAAAGAATTGGAAATTGAGTGGATGCCCTTCAATTGGGGAATGGCTGAACAAGTTGTAGTATATGAATGTGATAGAATACTATTGTGCTATAAGAAATGATAAGCAGGCAGACTTCAGAAAAACCTGGAAAGACTTGTACAGACTGATGATGAGTGAAGTGAACAGAACCAGGAGAATGATGTACACAGTAACAGCCACATTGTGTGATGACTAACTTTGATAGACTCAGCCCTTCGCAGCAATGCAAGGATCTAAGACATCTCCAAAAGTCTCATGATGGAAAATGCTATCCACATATAGAGAAAGAACTATGGAGTTTGAATGCAGATCAAAGCATACTATTTGCTATTTTTTTTCTCCTGTTTTGTTTTGTTTTGTTTTCTCCTTCTGGTGGTTCCTCCTATTGTTCTAATTCTTCCTTACAACATCACTAATGTGAAAATATGTTTAATAGGAATGTATATGTATAGCCTATATCAGATTGTGCACAGTCTTGGGGAGGTTGGGGAGAGGGAGAAAAATTTAAAACTCAAAAGCTTATGGAAGTAATTGTTGTTAAATCAAAATAAATTAATAAAAAAAGAAAAAAACTATGGAGTTTGAATGCAGATAGAAGCACACTATTTGCTCTTTTTTTCCTTCCGTTTTGTTTTGTTTCCTCTTTCTTGTGGTTCTTCCTATTGGTTCTAATTCTTCCTTACAACATGACTAAAGTGAAAATATGTTTAATAAGAGTGTATATGTAAAGCCTATATCAGATCGCGCACAGTCTTGGGGAGGGAAGGGGAGAAAAAAAAAAAGAAGATAAGTTCCATACTGTCTTATTTACATAGTTCAAGCTTATTGGATAAAAACCTAATATAAAAGGTGCAAAAAAATCTATGAATAAATGACATGGCATTCTTCATAACATCAGGAGGAGATCTGAATTGATTTGCTAAGAGTGCCAATAGATTTTTATTAATCCACTACACTTTCTTTTATATAGTTGACAAGATTATTCACTACAACAGCCGGGTATAGAAATATATTTTAGGAACATGACAGTATAGCTCATGACCTTATTCTTATAAGTTTTGTGATTTACTAGGAGGAACAATTCACCTACTCACTGAGTAAAATATATGCTTTCAGTGTTCTGCTACCTCAAGATGCTGCACGAACCCAAAAAGATAAACCAAATCTTACTTAATGATTACCAAAAACAATTCTTACCTAATGAAACTTTACCCATCCTTCCCTATAGTCAGAAGTGATCTCTCCCTCACTGAACCTCTAATACTACTTTGCACCTCTTCTCCAACCTTATTATATCCTAATTTATATTTTCATTATAGCTAACATTTAAATAACGCTTGCAGGCTTGCCTTACATATATTAGCTCATTTAATACTCACAACAACTCTGGAAAAGTAGGTATTATCACTATTATTATTCCCATTTTGCAGAGGAAGGAAGTGATGCTGAGAGAGATAAAGTGCCTGCCCAGGGTCACTTAACTAGTGAATTTCTTAAGTAGGATTTGATCTTAGGTCTACCTGACTTCAAGTCCAACCCCTCTATGCAATATAACATCTATCTTATTTATATGAGATTATTATTTTCTCCATTAAACATAAACTCTTTGCAAGTTAGGACTACTTCTTATTTTCTTTTATTAGTCAGAGCCTAGCAGAGTGTCTTTTATAAAGCATGTATTTAACAATTATCAGTTGAACTGAATTGAATTGAACAAGCTCACTTTCCATTATGGGACTGAAATTTTGGGAACAAGGACATTCCATTTCTACCCTCTTATGGGAGAGTAAAAAGGCTTAATTGAAAGTAGAGTTCAGTTTTAAAATAATTTTGCTATGAAAAATATCAATTTCATAAGCTCCTGTCCCCTTTCATATGTCTTGCTAAAATAGGCAAAAAATTAACCAGTGAAGCAAGAAAATGAGCTGCTATGTAAATAAAAAGAATTAGATCAACTGGTTTGAACAGGAACAATTCAGTTTATTATAGTCTTGGAGAATTAGAGCATTGAGAAGTTAAATGACTTGCCCAGGGTCAGATGGATATTTATGTGTTAAAAATATGACTTCCTGGTTTTGAGGCCATCTGTCTATATACAATGCTACACTGTCATGAATATAAATAAAACAAAATGAACTAAGAAAACTAATACTAGTGAGTGCTCATAAGCTCCAATATGAGAATACAATACCTTAAAGTTCAGACTCTCTTTTATGATGCTTTTCCGAAGTTTTACCAATGCCTCACATTCTTCTGTAGCATTCACACAATGGTAATCTCGTATTTCAGGGAACCCTCTTTTGTTTAAGAGCTCCTTAGTTATTTTGCTTATGGAGGCCTTTCTCTGTTTCTCATCAGAAACATCCAAATGGGTACCAACCAGAATCACTGGTGAGGAAGAAGCCCGAGCCTGTAGGGGAAAGCCATGAAACATGCAAGTTTAATTTAGAATTGAGATTTTAACTCAATTAACTTTTAACTCAGTTAACTTTTAACGCTGTTGAGGCTTACTCCTAATAGCTGTGCTACCAGTGAAAACAGCATGATTTTATTAGAAGATTTTCTAAAAATCTGCAATTTAGTAATCTAACTTATACAAATGCATTGTCAATCAATCAACAAGCATTTACTATGTGACGATGCTGTGCTAGGTTCAGGGCAAACAAACATAAGAAGTTAGACAATTAATTCTTACTCTCAAAAAACAACGATTCTAATGGAGAAGATAACAAGTAAATATAGAATAAATATAAGGGAAACAAATAAAAATAAATAAAGTGGTTAAATATAAGGTAGTCTGAGAGGAAGGGTACTAGCAGTTGAGGGAACCAGGAATGATTTCATGTAGAAAGTGGTATTTGTAAGGAAATGAGGAATTCTCTGAGGTAAAATTGGGATGTATATTCTAGGCATAGTGGGAAACCCAGTACAAAAATCACAGAGACAAGGGGCTAAATGTTATGAGTGATGAAGAGAGTTTGGCTGGATCGAAGTGTGCAAGAAATGGAGCAATGTCCAATAAGTGCTGGAAAAATAGGTTGGGGCAAGGTTGTAAAGAGCTAAAGATATAAAATAAAGATGAAAAGGACACACATGTACAAAAATATTTATAGCAGCTCTTTTTTTGGTAGCAAAAAACTGGAAAGTAGAGGGCTGCCCTCAATTAAAGAATGTTTTAACAAATTGTGGTATATGAACATAATGGAATACTGTTTTGCCATAAGGAATAATGAAGTTGGACACCAGATTGCAAAATGCTGAAGAGTAAGTAAGAAAGGAGTTTGACTGAGAACTTAGTTATTACAACAACTCTGTTTGCTTAAGGAAATGATAGGAACTTTATTGGGCATTTGTTAATAAAGCATGTTTCAGCTAGGGTTAGAGCTTATCCTCAGCTGGGTTCATATTATCTCTCCCTACTACCATAAGTAAACCACTTAGTGAAGAATGGCACCAAGTCTGCCTCTTATCCACCTAAGAAAATTTCAATTAAGATTTACTGAAATACTAACAGTTCAAATACAATATGAGCTTTGTCTTCTAAAGAGAAATGTTCAAAAGTGCTAGGGGACCCTGAAGAATTTTCCCAGTACAAGCATATTAACTGTCTCTGGAAATAGCCTTGCATAGATTCCACATAAGTGTAGTTCCACGGCACAGTGGATAGAGGACTGGGCTGAGAAGTTCAAATCTGGCCTCAGACACCTACTAGCTGTGTGAACCTGAGCAAGTCACTTAATTCTATTGTCTCGGTTCCTCATATGTAAAATGAGCTGGAGAAGGAAACGGCAGACCAATGTCTTTGCCAAGAAAACCCCAACTGGGGTCACAAAGAGTTGGACACAACTGAAATAACAATAACAGAATCCATATACATCTCACCAAGAAGTTGGTTCTTGAGCTAAGATATAGATAATGTCCTCACATTACACACCCAACTCCTATTTTAAGACCTTGCAAATACTGTTAATACAGTTCTCCAAATCAGCATTTTGCTTTCTTAGATGCTCAATGAATAGATGCCAAGTCTTATCAGTTTTACTTCTATAATACCTCTCACATCCATCCCTGCGTCCTTACTCACATACACAATACACTATTAAAAAGCCTTACACTATTATACATGATATTATAGAATATAGAATATCATCATATCATTGTTATTGTTGTTCAGTCATGTCTAACTCTTCACGACCCTGTGGACCATACTGTGGGATTTTCTTGGAAAAGACACTGGAGTGGTTTGCCATTTCCTTCTCCAATGGATTGAGTGGTTTAAGGGTTAAGTGACTAGCCCAAGGTCACAAAGGTAGTAAGTGTCTAAAGCTGGATTTGAACTCAGGTCTTCCTGACTCCAGGTCCAGAGCTCTATCCACTGAATCATCTAGCTGCCTCATCATATTGTATATACCATTGTAAAGCCTTAATGTCAAACCCATATTACAACAGCAGCCTTCTAACTGGCTTCTCTGCTTTCAGCTTCTATCCTCTTCATTCTATCCAGAGGTGTCAAAATTATATATCTTAAACAGAGATCTGACCATACATGACACTGCCCATTCAAAAATCTCCAGTGGTTACGCTATATTGCCTTCAGGATAAAATATTAATCTTCAGCCTGGATTTTAAGACCTTCCATAATATGGTTTCTACTTACCTGTCCAGTCTTATTTCATATTATAGTGGAGTCATATTTTACACTTACTTTACAATGGAGTCATGTATTACATGAAGATTTTGTTTTCCTAAATGAATTGTTATTATTTTATCAAGATCTACAATGTATCCTCTTGGTAATTTGATTGGCATAGCATTAAAAGTACAATTTAATTTTGGTAACATTGTTATTTTTATTATATTGACATGGCGCTGAACATTTCTCCAGTTATTTAAGTTGTTCCTAATTTCTTTAAGGAGTATTTTGTAATTGAATTGACAAAGTCTTTATGTACTTCAGTAGGTTATTTAGCTAGAATGGGATTTCCTTTTCTCTTATTTCTCCTTTTGTCTTATTATTATATAGAAATACTGTTGATTTTTCAAAGTTTATTTGTAGTCTGCAATTTTGCTGAAGTTTTTATCTCAATTAGTATTATCTCCTCTTTATCTATCTTTATGCCTTTAATTTCTTTCTCTTATCTTATTATTAGCCTTTCCAGAAAAATACCAAATAATAGCGGGCATCCATGGTTCACTCTCGTTATCTCCTGGGAAATGCTCTAATGCATCACCAATGAATGTGATGCTTGCTTTGGGTTTTAGATAGCTACTTTTTATGATATATATATAATGCCACCTTTCTATGCTTACATTTTGTAAGTTTTTTAGCATAAAAAAGGGTAGTACTTTGTCAAAGGCTTTACCTTAGTCTTTTTTAAAGTGGTCCTATTCCTATTGGTGCTCTTCCCCTCACCCCTTATCCACTCTCTTTTGCTCCTGCATTTATCTGATTATTTAATTCTTCCTATCCATGTAGATTCTCCCTTAAAAGAACTAGTACAGTTCAGTAGTTTTTAAAATTTCATTTTTTGTGTCACTTTTCCAAAAAAGATGTCTCTTATTCTCTTTATTATCTATCCTCTCTGTCTTTATAGACCACAGTTCTCGGTTTCATGAGTCTTCTAATTACCTGGTGTCTCTCTCTCTTTTTTCTGCATTCCTATTGCAACCAAAGCTTCAAACATATCCATTCCAGGCTCTCCTCTCTAGTCACTTCTTGCCATAGCCTTATAGAGCTGGTGCCATGAATTTCCTTTTTCCATTGTACCTCATTCCCAAAACAATTTCAATAATTGCAGGTGTCAGAGAAAACACTGTCCCACAGTGGGGCTCTTTCCCCATCATATCCCTGATTATGCAGTCCATCACTGATTTGTAACCTTCCCCGGTTACCTTTCTTTCCCCATTTGCCTTAAAATCTCTTCCCCGGGTCAAAGGTCTCACATACTCCCAGGTGCCAAATGTCTATAGGAGTTGTATCTTTCCAACTTGCCCCTTCCTGAGGTAGGAGGAGTAGGCTTTTCAAACAATATATACTCACTCAGCACAAGGTCCCCTTCTGGCTTTACAGGATGTCTTTTCACCCACAGAAGCATGTCAACGAAAACCCCTACCGCACCACAAGACCTACTTCCTTTTCCCCACTTTTCAATTCCCCCCCTTCCTCTTTCCCTACTCCCCTGTAAGAGCTTCTCTTTCTGAGACCACAGGGGTCATCACTTTCTTCTCATTCTTTGCATTCTATTTGACTATTTTATTCTTTCCTTCACTTTGGTGTTTAGGTTTTTTGTCTTATAATATTCTTTTGCGAGACCTTAAAAATTGTCTTCAGGCATCATGTCTTTGAAATCACTATGTTTTGTCTGCATAGTGAACACATTTTCTTTTAATGCTGCTTTTTCCTTCTCTCCTTCTAGACTTCACTTTTATATGTTTGCATCCCAAAACTACTGTTCTCTCTTTTGTTACTTTGGTGAGGGCTGCCATTGTAGATTACAGGTTTTTATTCTGCCTATTATTTTTGCTGTACAGGCCATAAATTCTGTTTTCTTAATTCTCAGTTCTCTTTTGAACCACTTAGGAATAATGTATTGTAATCCCATGTTCTCCTCATATTCCCTAGGGTCTTCTGTCTTAACTGTTCGATCATTTCCCTTTATTTTGCAGTACTTATTTATAGATGCCTTAACTTGTTTTACTTCATCTGAAAGCCGTATTTCCTTATGTTGTTAATTTTCTCCCTTAAGATTTATCTGTTTAGGTTTGAGGTCTTTAAGTTTTCTTCTTCCTTAGATCTTTGGTAATTGGAGGTTCCCCCCCTCCCTGTTTTACCTCTACTCACTTTCTTACTTTCTCCTTTCTGACAGCGGTTTCCTTGGGGTCTGGATCTCAAAGTATCTCAGCCTCTTTACACGCTAAGCAATTCATGATTCACTACACTAGTTTCTCTACCCCAAGTGACTTTTCAGTGTTCTGAACTGGGTAAAATGAAGCCTTTGACTGTGAATAAATCACAACAGCTTGTAGCAGTTAAAGGGAGAAATTAGTAAAGTTAGTTTAAAAAAAAAACAAAAAACAAAAAAAACAAACCTCTGCCCACATGCTATCCAAAAGAAAATATCTAGTTTTCTGATAGTCTAATCTAAAACACTTTTAACCCCATACTTGGGATAGTAGGTGACATAGCACAGGACCTGTAATGAGGAAGCCATGACTTCAAATCCAGCTTCAAACACTTACTAGCCGTGTGATTTTGGGCAAGTCAATGAACCTGTGTCTGCCTAAGTTTCCTCATCTGTAAAATGGGGATAATTAATAGTATCTCCCAAGATTGTTACGATGATAAAATAGTTATCTGTAAGAGCTATATAAATGCTAGCTACTATTTGCATTCTCAGCATTTAATGGAGTGCCTCGAATAAGGGATGCATTTGCTGTTGTTGAACTAAATTGTAATTTCTAGAAGGCTATTCTTATGCTTCTATCAAAAACTGAGGAAATTTTGGTCAACCTCAGAGAATAATTTCTATTTCATTTCTTTTTCTCTTCAAATAGCTGATAATTTTTAAGACTATGCACAGGACTGAACAGCAATAGATGAAAGTCCAAGTTATCTGGTTCATAGATAATATTCAGGATAAATATGATAAATTTCCCCCCTCTGCTTCATTATATGATCATCATTAGTATTTATGGTAAAAAAAAAAATCATCTAGAGATCAATCTTTTAATCTCTCTAAACAGATTAGTCCTTTAACCACATACATACAAGTCTGTTACTGGGACCACACCTGAAACCTCTCCAGCTTGGTAAAAACCACCTAGATCTTAAAAAACCAGGTATCACCTACATGCCATGATGAGCAATTAATTAGTAATTTAGTGAAATGATAATATTAGTAATTATTATTATGTTTGCCATCAGTCTTTTTAAAACATGATAATATTTTAGTTATCCATTAGATTCTTCTGAAGGATTTCATAAATTCCTAAGAATATATTTTGGCTTCTGTGTTAAAATGAACATCTCTGGATGAATAAGGAAAATATCAGAGAAACTAATAATCTATATTTTTACTTTTTCACAAAGGTCTATGAATTAAAATTTTGGATCTTCTGAGTCTAAATAAAAATTATTATAACAGCCTCATTTGCCTGAAGAAAATTCATCTGACAATAATTATCTAAAACAGACCAGAAAACCAAGAAGTACCCAAAATACTCACCACAATCAAAATAGTCATCACAAAGTTCATGTACTTATGTATTTATTCTTTTTTAAGACACAGAACAATAGTTTTCAAACATAGTATAATATACAATTTTAATAATGAAAATTCTGGCTCATCAAAAAAATTTTAAACTATTTTAGTATGCTCCATGTAACAAGGCATAGAAATATATGTATTTACAAACACTATTATAAAAAATTTTATATAAAATAGCACTGCTTCCTATAAAGGAGTGATCTTCAATTATATAGAAAATTCACCTCTATGCCATGTTTCCTACCACTATTGTATAAATGAGGTATTAACTATACTACATAGTTAGTTATTAAAAGAGTTTTGCTCATAGAATATTTATTCAAAAGCCATTATTTAGAATTTGTTTTTCATTTTTTTGACTATGGGTTTTAAAGAAGACATATAGGGAGATATTTCAGGGTGGAGTCTAGGAATTTGGATGAAAAATATTACATCTTTATTTTCTAACTGCAATTTAGCATCAAACCTTGCTTTAGACCATTTGCATAACTGATCACAGACTGTGGTCTGTTCAGAAACATCATGCTACTAAATTACTTAAAAAATCTATGAAGGCAAATAGCATATATGTCGTTTTATTATATTAACCTTTCTTTAAAATGTATTGATTCATGAAGAGACAACAGAAAGTAACTGCTTTAAATGAATTTACTTAAGACCAAATTATTTAGAATTTTAAAAGAAATTCTTTAAAATTCTTAAATTGTTAGTCACCTTTATGTTGAAGAGCCATGGCTTCATAGCATCTACTTCAGCATGTCCTTTGCTAAGATCATACACAGCAAGATATAATGCTCGTTGTGTCATAAAGTGAGGGTGAGTGCTGTAGAACTCTTCTCGTCCTAAATGAAAAAGTCATACATATTTTCCATGCCTGTAAACCATAAGCAACTATGCATTTCTGATATAATAATAATTGCTATTGGACAGAATGTGATTTCAGTGGTGTGGATACTCCCCCTTCACTGACACCACTGAAACCACAACAGATGGTTCATGAGATATCATAACCAAATTAGAGATTTCAAGATATCATCTATAGATAAGGAAAGTGAAGCCCTAAAACGTTAAGTGACTTGCCAAAGTTCACATGAATGTCAAAAATATAAATCTAAATTAAAAAAAAAAAGAAAGAAAATAGGGATTCAAAGGTTAAATGTTAAATGACTTGTCTAAGATCACAAGTAAGAGCAAGAGCCATGATATCAGTATATCATCGGTTCACATTTGACACATTTCCAGTTCTGACAGATTCAACCATGATGTGCTCAAATCTGTTCTTTTATATTTCATTAACTGTTGCAACAATGTAGTTTTTCCACTACTTATGATTTCACTGACATAGGCTTCAAAAACATAAAGTCACTTCTGTGTCAAGATGAAGTACTACAGCAAGATCTGACTAGACAAATTAACCACGAAAATGAATTGTCATTTTAAAAAGAGAGAAATAAGGGCAGCTAGATGGCACAGTAGACATAGCTCTGGCCTTGGAGTCAGGAGGAACTGAGTTCAAATCCAGCCTCAGACAGTTGACCATGTAGCTGTGTGACCATGGGCAAGTCACTTACCCCTGATTGCCTCACCAAAATAAAAAGAGAGAAATAATTGGCTTTTTATTGGGGATTCCCAGAACGTATGCCAGAGTTTAACACATGTGATCTTAATTCTGAGAATGCTAGCACCACACCCCCACCTTTTGCCACCTCACTACTACCTTTATTATGGTGGCTAAGTCACCACTGGTAGAGCTGAGGAAAAGGGACCAGTCCTAGGATTCCTCCTTTTCCCACCATCAGTCTTATTTTATGTGCTTTAAGAAAAATAAATGGTTTTCTAAATTCTGTACTACGACTTCTCTTCAACATATCATGCATCTGTGATTTCATTGGTATATGTACTTACCTCCACAACTGTAACCAACAATTCCTCTACAACTTACAGAACTTTGGGAGTTACTAAAACCAAAAAGACTGCAACCAAAATAGCAATGAGATTTTAGAAATTTATCTAGAGTGCTCCTCAGATGACATACATACAATCCCATAGTCAAATACACTAAACCCATAGTCAAAACCTTGCTGGTTTGGTAAGATCTACTGGAGTTTTTCATTCTATCAGTTCAACCTTTGTGAAAACAGTAATTTCCAAACACAATGCCATGATAAGCAGTTGAAAATGTTTGTTTCTAGTGTCAAACACGGTTAACAACTTGATAATAGTATCAAAAGGTTTATATAATTAATTAGTAAATGCTGAGCTAAATGAAATGTTTGAAATGACTACCTGCAAAATCCCAGACATTTAGGATCAGCTCTTTCTTCCCTTTGTTCCTCAGCTGGATAGACCAATCTTTTACATCTATGCCTATTGTAGTACTTGGTGTGCTCAAATCTGTTCTTTTATATTTCATTAACTGTCGCAACAATGTAGTTTTTCCACTGCCAGTATTTCCCACAACCATGAGTTTCATTCGATTATAGGGCACTGACTTTTTTAACCTCTGTTGAAGAAACCTGTCATTTCAAAGAAAATATTAAAACAATTTACTACTGTCATTTCACTGTCATTTCAATTAATATTTATAAGGCATTATTTTTGCCATGTAATTTCAACTCCTGAATAAGTTGAAGATAGCATTTAGCACAGTCTGCATTTCAGAGGATACCCCTCATTTACTTTAAGAAAATGTTTTTTTGACACTGATATTTTGAATGACACAAATTTTCAATGGTGTGGTTACTCTCTTCACCAGTGCTAACTGTAACTCCTCCACATTTCATGAGGTGCTCAAACTACAACAAGTATTTATTAAGCATTTACTAAATGTCAGACACTGTTAAGGAGTGGAGCAAAGAAAGGAAAAATATGGTCCTTTGTCCCCAAAGACTTCACATTTTAATGAAGGAAATAGCAGGCAAACAACTATATACATAGAAAATCTAGAATATAAATGGAAAGGAATCTCAGAGTTAATGTGTGAGTAGTGGGGGGCGGGGAGAAAAGAAGAAAAACAGGAAAAGTCTTTTACAAAAAATAGTTATTCAAGCTCAGTCTTGAAGTAAGTGGGTGAAGAGGAGAAAGAACATTCCAGGGCTGGTGAAAAGGAGTTAGGAGTTAGAGTGTCATCTTTGAGGGACAGAAAGAAGATAAGTGTTGATTTATATTAAGAGTATTTAGAAGGGAGTAAAATATAAGAAGAAAGGGAAGAGGTGACCAGATTGTGACAGGCTTTAAAAAGACAGACGATTTATATTTAATTCTAGAGGTAATAGGGAGTTACTGGAGTTTATTGAGTAGGGGGTTGGCATGATCAGGGCTGCACTTTAGAAAGATCACTTTGATGGCTGAATGGAGGATGAAGTGGAGAATGAAGAGATTTGAGGTAGGGAGACCTAGCAGCAGACTACTGCAATAATCCAAGTTTGGGGTAGTGATATAACAGAGTAGCAACTATATATATATGAAGATAAATGGGGAAGTATAACAAGAGATGTTGCAAAGGTAGAAATGGAAGGCCCTGATAAAAGAATGGATATATGGGTTAAATCCAAATGAGAAATCTAATACAACAGTAAGATTGTGAGACTTGGATTAGGGGACTATTAACAGTACTAGGGAAATTTGGAAGAAAGGAGGGTTTGGGGGAAAGATAATATGGTTCTATTTTGAACATACTGAACATAGATGTCCAGTAGGTAGTTGGTGATACAAAACTGGAGATTAGGAGAGCAGCTAAAAATTTTATCACATTCTGGTGATAAGCCTTTTCACATTTAACGAGATAAAAGAACACTCTATATTCAAAGACTTTCCAACCTGATGAGACCTACCATAGCTTGTACTCTTTTAGTAGTCTTCAAGAATTCAGAGTGTTTATATATACACACACACACACACACACACACACACACACACACACATACACATACACACATGCACACACAAAAATAAGGCAGGAAACTATGATTTTAAGGGAGGAATTAATTTTAATATTGCTAATGTAAAAAATTAAAGAAATAGAAATATGTATTTACATTATCACTATGGAAGCCACTTTATTATAGTCACTTCCACAAAAATTTATTAACTGGCTGAGTGCCAGGTGCTGGGGTAGAATGACAAGAACAAGGATATAACACTCCACCTGAGAAAACAACATGTACACAGATAAAAAGGAATAGGGACTGAATCTGTCATTTCATTTGTATAGGGAACTTCTAGGTAAAATAATTCCCTCAATAATGCAGCTCAGCACCTTCTCTGAAACCTATAGTCTAAGAGAGGTGTCTAGAGCACTGAGAGGTTACGTGAATTGGCCAGGGTTGCACAGACAGGATGTGTCAGAATAGGACCTGAATCCAGACATATCTGGTTCTGAAGCCAACTCTCTATCCTCACTGCCTCACTTACACTCACACATAAAAGTGTGTATATGTATGGATGTATAAAAGATGAAATAACTGGGAGAGGGCAAAAACCTGGATGAATCAAAAAATGACTCTTTAGGAGATGACCTTTGATCTGAACTTTGAAGGAAGCTAGGGATTTCAAGTTTTAAGATGAGCAAAGAGAACATTCCAGGAATGGAGGACACTCCATATTTTATAGAATTAATATACGTAGGCATTTTTAAAAAAATATGTCAATTGGAGTTTATATTTCAAACTAGAGGCAAAGGGGATTTACTGAAATTTCTTGAAAAGGAGAATAGCATGACCAGATCATAGCGACTGAGTCCTTTGGAAAAGGGAGAAATGATTGTAATGTTAGTAGGGAGATGTTTTGGGAATGGAATCAACTAATTGTATATGGGAGGTGTGGGAAGGTAAAGAGTCAAGGATAACTGAGGTTGCAAACCTCGGTGATAAGAAGGATGGCACACACAAAAAATTAGGGAAGATAGGAGGCCAAGTGGATTTAGGGGAAAAGATAATTACTTATGCCTTAGACTTGTTGAGTTTGAGATACCTAAGGGACATCTAAGTGCTGATGTCTAGCAGGCAGTTATTGATAAAAGCCTGCAATTCAACAGAAAGATCAAATCTTATATTTACATGGCTATATGTTTATTTCTGTGAAATAATAATGATGAACAATGAACCAAATGTACAGCCTTTCAAGAAAAACTAGTTTTCAGAATGCATTGTAAATTGGTCATGTTAACATAATTCACAATAACATCAAAATGTTTGTATAATACATAAATATAAAATACATGCAATAACTTGATTAAGCAGAACTAAACCATCTTTACTGTAACAGTAGCTTTTATATAACATACTTCCTATCCATATCCAAATTGAAATGTTTAAAGCAATTTAAATTTTTAGTTGCTAACAAGATTAGAATTGAATTCTAATGAATATTTCTTGGCAAGTTTTCAAATAAACATAAGTCAGACTGAAAGACATGCAACACTGTTTTTCTTGATTTTCTGATGACTCTTAATGGAATCACAGGCATTTTTATTCAATCAAAAAAAAAATCTTAAGAATCAAGCTCAGTGATAGTAGGTATAAGGCATCCTATTAGTATCAGTTTAGCATGGGAATAAAAACATACATCAGTTATTCAATATTATAGTATATAGGAAAATATCATAATGCTCTACTTTAAAACTTAGTACAGGCTTAGATTCTTAAAATCTAGCCAATAGCTCATTAACATTCAAACTCCTGAAGAGTCTGCCCAATATGACAGATGTTCTAATAAACCTTGTCTTTGGCTGAAAGAAGGCTTGGGTCGAATTCTTTCAGGCAGGACCCATTTGTTGTGATATTGAGGTCCCAGCACCCCAGAATCCTTAAACCTCATCATTTTGGTGGCCTGTATGGAGAAACTGACTAACCCCAAGTTGTTCTTCAGCCAAGACTAGAATGTATGTAAGTCTCCCTTCCCCCGCTTCATTCTCTGCAGTTGGGGTTACTCTCCAAGAACCAAGGCTTGGAGGTGCTTTTTGGGCAGACAGTTAGGAGGCTGTCTTACACTGGGCCTGCCGCTCTCAGGCTCTCAGTCCACTGGGTCGGTTCGAGGCCTTGGACTTGGGGAAACCTTCCACAGCAATAGAGGACAAGGACAGATGCCCTATCAGGAAGTGTATGTGCAATTCTGTTAATTCTCTCAGTGCTAGAGAATTGGGGAAAAACTGCAGTTGCTTTTCGGTTCCCTGAGGCTTACTTACTCCCTTCCCTCTACACCCCTGAATCCTCCTTCATGGAGGTTACAGGGAAAAGTTAGAACAGCTAAAAATATCTTGGCAGATTCTGGAGGTTTTAAAGAATTTTGAAACTCCTTACAACCCTGGTCACTCCTTTCTCCCACTCCCTTCCCTTGAGTCAAGAGGGTATATGTTAACCCCTCTCATAGGAGAAGAGAGTTTCATCCTTTACCCCTCACCTTTGATTTCTCCCTCCCCCACCTCGGAAAGGGAGGGGGGGGAGGGGCAACAGCTACAGCCTGGGTCCCACTGGCAATGGCCTTGGGTCCTGGGGCCCAGGTTCAGCACATCCTGCTCAAGGTAAAGAAGCTAGCCTCTGAACTTGGGTAAGCATGCTCTTTTAAATTTGTAGCTTTAACTGTTAATGATGAGATGTTAATTCTCTGTGTAAAGTAATTTGGAAATGAATTTAACAAAATTGAAGTCACCTGATTCGTAATGGGTTTGTTTCAAGTTTTTCTATCAGTTATGTCAAGCAACTTTTCATAATTTGGTTACTGCTAAAATAATGTGACTATTGTTGGTTATTGTTTTAATGTGTAAATGAGCCAAAAAGTTTGTTTGGATTATGTGTGGCTTGCTGAGAATTTGCAAGTGTATAGCAATCTGTAATGATTGACTTTTTACATCATGACAAATTTAGGTTTTGAGATGTAAATCCTGGAAAAGTTTTTCCTAAACTGTGATTAGTGAAACTTGCTGTTTGAGGTAAAAGCTCATAGGATTTTATTTTGAGTTGTCTGATGGGTCATAATCCATCAATAATCAGTAATCCACCATTTGAGAGAAATGCCACAAGCTACTCAGACAATGTAATACTGGTGGGAAGTCAGCATCTGGAAAAGCTGAGAGGACAATTTTAGCCTCAGTCTAAGATGGGATCCTCCTGGCTCAGTTTCCCCATTATGTTCCTTGGAAAGGGAATGTTACTCACCTGGCTATTCCTGAGTCTGGCTATGGGGTGGATTTGATACTGCATGACTAGAAAACTGAATCCAAATCAGAGCTAAGCATGTTTTATCCTGGCATTTGGGCCCTGCAGTCTTTTTTGTCAGATTTGTGTCTTCCAGACTACAGGCCATTCACCTACAGTTGGTAACAAACAACAGGTACCAGCCAGTGTCTCCCATTGTTCCCTGGATGCAGCCTGTGCTAAGTTCCAGTTAACCTTCTCTTTGGGACCCCCTTGAAGCAGGGACAGCTCTACATCTCTTGCCAGCAGGAAGCAGTTTCAGAAGCCGAGACCTTCACCCCTGACACCAAAAGAATTTGGGTCCCATTTGTTTGAGGAGGTAAGGATGAGGTTGGGATCTGGACCCCAGAAAGGAAAAACCCTGGACTTTCTCATATGGACTAATCTCTGGCATTCACCTGAGGCTATAATCCCATCAACTGGCCTTTCATTGTGGCTACACCCAATTTCCCCTCCATTGTCTTACCTCCCTGTGGCCCCCGGCCATTTCTGACCCTTAATCCTAACTAGGCTCCATTCTCCCTTGGCCAAATGGTCCAGGTCCCAGGAGTTCTGTTCACCCCAGCTTACTGGCCACTCCCACTCAGATCATCCTTAGACCCTTCCCTCCAGTCACTCAAAACTACTTGGCCACTCCTAGATCCCTCCCACAGTCTTTCAGTATATAAGGTCCATCTTGCCTCCATTAAGGTACTTAGATTCTTAAAATCTAGCCAATAGCTCACTATCAGTCAGACTGCCCAATATGATGGATGTTCTAATAAACCTTGTCTTTGGCTAGAAAAACAGAACAAAAAACAGTACATATATAAAAGTTTACATTTTTTTTTATAAAACAATTCTTTTAGAGAACCCTTCTGAAAGAAAATGGGAAGGCTTCTAACTCTGAGAAGTAGTGTAAGATGAGTTATTCATTCAACTCCCCAAAGAGTAGAGTTACTGATTATTAATCAACGAACTGATTGATTAAGCACGGAATCTGAAAACAAAAAGCATTTTAAAAATACACTTTGACTAAAGAGTAAATGTACCAGGTTGTAACAATGTAATATATTTCTTCGTCTTATTTTAAATTGGTTATAGTAATTAGTTACTATATTAGTTTAATTAAGAATTAATTAGTTTAATTTAGTTTAATAAATTTAGATTAGTTTAATAAAGAATTCATTTCACAGAAAAAGCATAATGTAGTATAAAGGTACACTATGTATCATCTTCTTCATACCTTACAAATGTCAGGTCAATTCCACATTGTTTTAACCAGGCACCACCTAGTGGCAGCTATCTGAATTAGAGACAACAGTGGCTAGGAGTAAATAAGACCGCTTTTTGAAACCTACTTTGAAACCTACCTTAGCTAAACAATATCTACTAAGCAAAAACAAACAGCATAAAAGCAAAAGCATACTAAAACTATATGGTGGTTCTCAAATGCATTCTGTGTCATAAGTCAAATATACAGTAAAATCATAGGCTGAGAGAGTATGAAATTAGAGAGAAAACAATTGAAAATAAAATATCTAACCTTATGATGTCTCTGGTCTTGCATCCTATATGCTTAAAATCAAAATTAAGATGCAATTCATCCAAAGGAAGGTCCCAGATTTTAGTTAACTTCCCCATTTCATTAGGAAAGGATCTCAGTTCCAAATTGTAACTCACATCAAGAGATGTTAAATTTTCAAGAAAACCAATTTCAGGAGGAATCTTAGTGAAATTAAAAAAAAATTGGATAAAATCTTTTTGTAAAAGACATTTCATAAAGATTTAAGCAGAACTGTATAACATAAAGAATTAAGTAAACTGGAAGAGTCTTCAAAGTTAACTAATCTATTCCACTTGTCACTATAGTAGAACAAATTATCAAATCATTCTAAAATTTTCAAAAGATTTTTCATTTTCTTAATTATAAGTTACTTAACATAAATCACATTGTCAAAAGAATAACCCAGTATTGCCTTTTGTTTTTTCACAATATTTTCTTTGAAATTTAACCTTCCTTGATAATACATTTCATTATCTCATAACCTTAGATATCAGAAAGTTCATCTTACAGCATAACCTAAATTCTATCAACTGTGTTTTCATTTTATTTCCTTGCATTATTTTCTTTAGCAGAATTGGTAGAAATCTATTCACCACTACCTAATAGCAACACTTAATACTCTTGACTCTTCTATTAAGGTTAGATGACATTATAACCTTCAACCATTTTTAAATGTGAGATATGGATTTCTTTTAATACGAACTCCCATTGTAGGAACTCCGCATTAAAACGGATCACAACTAGATAAAGACTTAGTGGTTAAATCCTAGAAAAAGTCTATGGAGGACCTAAGAGTTTAAGTGACTTCCCTAAAATCACAGAATACCAAGCGTCAGGGAAAGGGTTTGAACTTGTCTTCCTGACTCTACTCTTCTGTTTTATTTTTTTTAAAGCACCAATATCAACAGCTTTAACCATTTTAACTGTTTGAAATCAACTCTTTAACGATCTCCAAATGTCCAAGTCTTGTTCAGATTATAAGGCACAATAACAAAATGTTCGACAGATGTATAACAATAGCACTGACAAAAAATAGCATTTGTTAAAAAAAAAAACATAGCCATTCAAATGCTCTTCTCTGACATAATTACAAACATGTTTAAAACAAAGTGGTGTTAATTTCACAATGAAGAAATATTTTTCCAGAATAAATAAGGCAGAGGCACTTGCCTTCCCTATAATTACTGTATTTGACATACTTCTAGAAATGCTAGCTATAGCAGTAAGAAAAGAAAAAGAACAAAACTTAAAGTTACAAATATTGATGAAGGAATAAAATTACTTCTGTTTTTACATAATGGTTTGCTTAAAAAAAAAAAACCACAAACACAATTTGGATGCCCAAAGGGCTATAAAACTGTGCCTACCCTTTGACTCAGCAATACCACTTCTAGGTCTGTGTTCCAAAGAGATCATAGAAATGTGAAAATTACCTACATGTGCAAAAATATTTATAGCAGTTCTTTTTGTGGTGGCCAAGAACTGGAAATTGAGGGGATGCTCATCAGTTGGAGAATGGCTGAACAAGTTGTGGTATATGAATGTAATGGAATACTATTGTGCTATAAGAAATGATGAGCAGGCTGACTTCAGAAAAACCTGGAAAGACTTAAATGAACTGATGCTGAGTGAAGTGAGCAGAAGCAGGAGAACACTGTACACAGTAATAGCCACAATGTGCAATGACTAATTCTGACAGCCTCATCTCCTCTCAGCAATGCAAGGATCCAAGACAACTCCAAAGGACTCATGATGGAAAATGCTGTCCATATACAGAGAATGAACTGTGGAGTCTGAATGCAGACTGAAGCATACAATTTACTCTCTTTTTTGGTGCTGTTTTGTTTCTTCTTTCTTGTGGTTCCTCCCATTCGTTCTAATCCTTCTTTACAACATGACTAATGTGAAAATATGTTTAATATGAAGGTATATGTAGGGCCTATTTCAGACTGCATGCTGTCTTGGGGAGGGGGAGTAAATTTAAAACTCAAAAGCTTATGGGGGCAGCTAAGTGGCACAGTGGATAGAGCACCTGCCCTGGATTCAGGAGGACCTGATTTTAAATCTGGCCTCAGACACCTAACACTTACTAGCTGCATGACCCTGGGCAAGTCACTTAATCCCATTGTCTAATCAAAATAGAAAAAAAAAAAGCATATGGAAGTGAATGTTGCAAACCAAAAATAAATAAATAAATGAAGAGAAATAAACAACAAAGAAATTAAGATGATTAATAACATCAGCAAAACAACAGGATATAAGACAAATACACGTAAAATATATACTGTACCAGAAAGAAATGAGAATAAGTGAAATTACATTATACCTAAAATATCTGAGCTAATCTACTAAGATTTATAGGATATTTATATAACTATAACTCAAAATACTTCAGACACTGAAGAGGTATTTACTGCTTGTGGTTGAATTAAGACAAAATAACCTTAATTACCATACAGATGTCAGGTTATACAAAACAAATTACAAAGGTGATCTTTTAACAGAATGAGAGGAAATAATAAATTCACTTGCAAAAAGGTCTAGAATCTTAAAAGAAATAAGAAAAACTATAAATGAAGGAGATATAGAATTACAAGACCTCAAACTATTACAGAGCAGTGGTCAACGAAACCTTTTAAGCCCAGAGGAAATAAAATTTAGAGGACACTAAACAACAGTGTTTGAGTATATGACGGGCTTTTGAAGGAAAGAAAATTAGGTTTGTTACACCAGGACCCAGACAGGAAATGAGTGGAAGTTGTGGAAAATCAAATTTGGGCTACGTATAAGAAATGACCTATCCAAAGATCGAATGAGGTGCCTTAGAAGGTTGTGGATTCTCCTTCATGGAGGTCTTAAAATAAGAGGCTAGATGACATTTCTTGTCAATGTTTAAGAAGAAATTTCTGTTCCAGGTATGAATTGGACTAGATGACCAATGAGTTCCCTATTACCTCTTGGATTATGTGATTCTACAGTATGAAGAGCACAGCATAATGTGCTAAAACACTTCAATTTTAGGGCTAATATTACTCAAAAAAAAAGTAACATTTAAAAGGGGAACTAAGTGGCGCTGTGGATAGAGCAGTTGGGTCTGGAGTCAAGAAGATCTGAGTTCAAATCTGGCCTCCAACACTTAGGAGCGATGTGACCCTGGTCAAGTCACTTAACCCTGTTTGCCTCAGTTTCCTCATCTGTAAAATGAGTTGAAGAGGGAAATGGTAAACCATTTTAGTATCTTTATCAAGAAAACCCCCTTAACAACAAAAAGAAATTAGAAAATGCCGAGTTATTATAGCGCAAATTATGGCAGCATATCTTTAAAAGAGCAATAATTTTTTGTTATAAAATGATCTTTTACCTCTTTCAGTTGATTATGGGACAAGTGTAGTTTCTCCATCCGTGACCACATATATGCTTTTTCACTTAAGTCCAGAATGCTGATCTGATTATGATTAAACAAAAGTTCCCTTAAGTTTAATGATTTCCAGTGTGCAGGCCCAGGCAGGTTGTGAATTTCATTGTTGCTCAAATCTAATGACCTCAAACTGAAAGTGACAAAAGACCAGATTGAAGATACAAGCCACAATTTACACGTTTATAAAAAATGTAATGTATTTTAAAAGCTATGGTATATGCAATTATGAAAATTAAAATAAACTTCCATCAAAGAAAGCTCAAAAATATATACATTATATATTAACTGAGATAATATATAGGGAGAAAAACATTAGAAAGCCCACATGGTAAATGAGCAAGGATATTTAAGTGAGAAAAGGACATAAGCAACAAAACTGAAGTCATGATTCTCTAATTTCAGTTGCTTCTAGAGAAAAGATAGCCTCAGAATGAAGGGAAAGGACTACCATTGTTAAAATGTAAGTCATAGGGAATGACTAAATTAGCAGCAGCAGTGGGTGCTTCTAGAACTCTCAGCCCAGACAGTAAGGGTATTAAACAACTGGTCGGAAGGAGAATACAGGGGTCTTTTTGCTAGCACTGAGCTCTGTTGCTTTGCCCATACTCAGACCCAGGTCATAGTCCTGGGTGGCAGTCCCAGGGTGAAAGGAATACTAGCATAGAAGAACTTGTAGCCACAGTGGAGGGGAGATCCTCTTCACGGTTACAAGGCAGAAAGAGTACTTCTGGTCACCCAGAGACTACAGCACAGGCCAGGAGAGGAGTAAACACCTCTCCTTAGATCATACCACCTTAAAAGAATTGAAAACTTACAGGTCCCTAGAGGTATCTCTCAAAACAGCTGCACAAAACCCCTGAAGCTTAGGACAGTGTGCCCTCCACACTGGAAGCAGAGCCCTATTTTAACAGTTAAAAGTCAAGTAATAGGCTGGGAAAATGAGCAAAAATGTGAAAAAACTTACTACAGAAAATTACTATTGTAACAGGAAGATCAAAACACACATTCAGAAGAAAACAACAAAATCAAAACTCCTACATCCAAAGCCTCCAACAAAAATATGAATTGGTCTCAGGCCATGGAAGTAGCTCAGAAAGGATCTGGAAAATCAAGTAAGAGAGATAAAGGAAAAATTGGGAAAAGAAATTAAGAGTGATGCAAGGAAATCATGAAAAATGAATCAACAGCTTGCTAAAAGAAACACAAAGAAAATACTGAAGAAAATTACACATTAAAAAACAGACTAGGCCAAATGGTAAAAGAGGTCCAAAAAGCCAATGAGGAGAAGAATGCCTTAAAAAGCAGAATTGGCCAAATTGAAAAGGGGTCCAAAAACTCACTGAATTAGAATGGAGCAAGTGGAAGAATGACTTTATGAGAAATCAAGAAACAGTAAGACAAAACCAAAAGAATGAAAAAATAAAAGATCATGTGAAATATTTCATTATGACAATGTGAAATCTCTTGTTGGAAAAACAACTGACTTGGAAAATAGATCCAGGAGAGAGAATTTAAAAATTATTGGACTACAGGATATAAAATAAACCCACACAAATCATCAACATTTCTATATATTAGTAACAAAGCCCAGCAGCAAGAGATAGAAAGAGATATTACATTTAAAATTACAGTAGACACTATAAAATATTTGGGAGTCTATCTGCCAAAACAAAACCAGGAACTATATGAACACAATTACGAAACACTTTTCACACAAATAAAGTCAGATCTAAATAACTGGAAAAACATCATTTGCTCACAGGTAGACCGAACTAATATAATAAAAATGACAATTCTACCTAAATTATTTTATTTATTCAGTGCCATACCAATCAAACTACCAAAAAATTATTTTATAGAGTTAGAAAAAATAATAACAAGATTCATTTGGAATTACAAAAAGTCCAGAATATCAAGGGAACTAATGAAAAGAAATGCAAGGGAAGGTGGCCTAGCTGTACCAGATCTTAAATTGTATTATAACGCAGCAATCATCAAAATCTACTTGTCACTGGCTAAGAAATAGGTGGATCAGCGGAATAGGTTAGGTATGCAAGACACAATAGTCAATGACTACAGTAATCCACTATTTGATAAATACAAAGCTTTCAGCTTCTGGGATAAGAAATCACTATTTAGCAAAAACTACTGGGAAAACTGGAAAATAGTATGGCAGAAAATGAGCATAGACCAACATCTTACACCCTATACCAAGACAAAGTCAAAATGGGTAAAGGATTCTGATGTAAAGACTGATAGTATAAGCAAATTGGGAGAGTAAGAATAGTTTACCTTTCAAATCTATGGAGAAGGGAAGAATTTATGACCAAACAAGAGATAGAAAACATTATGAAATGCAAAATGGACAATTTTGATTACAGTAAATTGTAAAGTTTTTGCAAAAATAAAGCCAATGCATCCAAGATTAGGAGGGAAGCAGAAAATTGGGAAAGAATTTTTACAACCAGTGTCTCTGATAAGGGCCTCATTTCTAAAATAGATAGAGAACTAAGTCAAATTTATAAGAATACAAGTCATTCCCCAACTGATAAGTGGTCAAATGATATGAACAGGCAGTTTTCAGAGGAAAAAAACTAAAGCCATATGAAAAAATGCTCTAAATATCTACTGATCAGAGAAAGGTATATCCAAATAACTCTGAGGTTAGCCAAACCTATCAGTTTGGCTAAAATGACAAAACAGGAAAATGATAGGTGTTGGAGAAGATGTGGGAAAAGTGGAACACTAATGCATTGCTGGTGGAGTTGTGAAATGATCCAACCATTTTGGAGAGCAATCTGGACCTATGCCCAAAGGGCTATAAAAATGTGCATATCCTTTGACCCAGCAATAGCACTTCTAGGGCTGTATCCCAAAGAGATCATACAAATAGGAAAAGGACTCACATGTACAAAAATATTTATAGTAGCTCTTTCTGTAGTGGCAAAGAACTGGAAAATAAGTGGATGCTCCTCAACTGGGGAATGGCTGAACAAGTTGTAGTATATGAATGTGATGGAATACTATTGTGCTATAAGAAATGATGAGCAGGAGGACTTCAGAAAAACCTGGAAAGACTTGTATGGACCGATGCTGAGTGAAGTGAGCAGAACCAGGAGAATGTTGTACAGCCACGTTGTGCAATGACTAACTTTGGTATGAGCCCTTCTCAGCAATGCAAGGATCTAAGACATCTCCAAAGGTCTCATGATGGAAAATGCTAGCCACATCCAAAGAAAGATCTATGGAGTTTGAACGCAGACTGAAGCATACTATTTGCTACTTTTTTTCTTCTGTTTTGTTTTCTCTTTCTTGTAGTTCCTCCTATTGGGTCTAATTCTTCCTTACAACATCATTAATGTGAAAATGTTTAATAGGAATGTATATGTATAGCGTATATCAGATTGCATGCTGTCTTGGGGAGGGAGAGAAAAATTTAAAACTCAAAAGCTGATGGAAGTGTTTGTTGATAAATGAAAATAAATTAATAAGAAAAATTTAAAAAATGATGAGCATGATGCTCTTACAAAAATCTGGAAAGACTTGCATGGGCTGATTCAAAGTGAAATGTACTATGTACAAAGTAACAGCAATATTCTAAGATGATCAGCTGTGAATGACTTAGCTATTCTCAGCAACACAAGCATCCAGGACAACTCTGAAAGAACTATGATGAAAAATTATATACATTCCCAGAGAAAGAACTGATGGTGTCTGAATACAGATTAAAGAATATTTTTTTTTACTTTATTTTTCTTGAGTTTTTTTGTCTATGTATTCTTTCACAACGTGACTATTATGGATATGTTTTGCATGCCTACTTGCATATATAACCTATACTGAACTGCTTGCCTTCTCAATGGGGGTGGGGGGGGAAGGTGGGAAGGGAAGAACAGAGAGATTTTGGAACTCAAACTTTTGAAAAGTAATGTTCAATATTGTTTCTACATGTAACTGAGGGAAAATAAAAACAAAATACAAAAAAATGTAAGTCATACACAAGAGATTTACTTCACAAAAAAAATTATTTTATTTTTTCTTCCCACTAACAGATGTCTTATCTACATTTCTCTTCTTTCTCACTGTTATAATGGTCTATCCAGAGCCAAATCTGTGCATTATTTTGTTGGGTTTTAAGCAACAGACATTGTTCTAAAGCGATAGTGTCAAACTCAAATAGTTCAAATGTCCCATATTCCAGCCCTATAAGAGCTTAGAAAATCACAAATTAACATTATCGATGTTGTTTTGTATTTCTGTATTTATTCTGTCAAATATTTAATTACATTGGTGCAAAGGACATGCAGGTCTCAGGATAGATACCTCTCTGTTAAAGGTCAAGGCAATTTAAGTTCCATGGCTCTGCCTCGAATATGTTGTTATTACTTCACTAATGCAAAATATCAGGAAAGCAATAAAGGAACAAAATAAACATAGAAAAATATAACTTTAGATATGAGCCACAATTTGACTGATTTTAAGGTGGCTTTTTAAAATATGCTGCTTTAATTAATTTGCTTCCTTGTATTTGGTGAATTATTTTGTTTCCTTATTGGTGCCCTGAAGTGAATGATATATGATTTGTCTAATAATATTAATCCAAATAATATGTTAATGAATTATTTTAAATCTTTTCATTCTAGTATAAAGAATACTTTTGCATACCTTAATGTATGTTTTAAAAAACAAAAACAAAAAACTAAACCTACAGTAAACATGAACATTTCAGTATGCAAAGAACAAAAAATAAAAGTTGTACTTGAAATCATAGTTGCAGCAAAATTACCCTATTCATATCCTCTTCTGAGATTTTTCATTTTAATCTGGTTATTTTCCTTTATCTCTTATTGAAACACTTTTTTCTTCAATCTATATTTTTACCTACTAATGCATCTCTCTCCAGGCCCACCCCAAAGGAGCCCTCTCTTGTAACAACATAAGTTATAGTTGAGAAAACAATTCAAAACGTTGGCCGTGTCTGAAAATAGATATATCTATTAATTCTCTGCCAAGAAGTGGGTGGTATTCAGCATCAACAGTCTTCTGATGTCATGATTGGTCACTGTATTTAATAGAGCTCTTCAGTCTTTCAAAATTATTTCCTTAATATTTGTAGCAAACTATCTAAAC